CAGAGCATGCTTCTTTTATGGAATGAAAAGCGTTCAATTAAAAGGTTTGCTTTAAATGTTTTTCTGTTGAAGTAAAAATATATGCCTAGACTAAAATTAATTGACTGTGATGGTAAAGTGTTTAAAATTTAAAGGTTGAATGCTTATGAGGGTGAATGCGTTTGTGGCCAGGAATATAATATATATATATCTCTGGACAAGGTCACACTTGTGCACATAAAACTTGAGTTTGAATATATGACAGAAATATTTTGTTATGCTTTCAAAGTTAAACATGTATTTTATATTTTTAATGACCTGTGAAAGTGGCTTACCACAATCATGCTCAGCTGCAATGACAGTGAGCTAACTGCAATATATGTCCTTTGTAATGCTAAATTGTAATTAAAAGAATATTTTACATTGCCTATGTTTTTTCTTCATCATTTATGCACACGTGTTTTTAACGAGCTTAGCATACCAATGCTCATATGGCTCATGCTTACAGCAAACCTACATGTAACATGTATATATATATTCCTTTATCGTTGTAATGCTTTTGCTAGGTCTTCAGTGATGGGGAATTTTTGAAAACATGTGCTGCTAAGGTTTAAAAAAATATACTCCAGCTTGTATGCAATGGCTCATGAATTTTTCCAATCAGGTCAATTTAGAATGTTTATGCGTATGCCATTTGATGATGTTGACATTTTCGGAGAAGAGCACGAATATGCAATATTTAAAGCCGGAGCTTAGAGCATGTCGGATTTACATACACGCATACATATGTAGATGTATGTATGTGTATGTACATATAAATGCAATATGCCTTTCGCTTAAACGCAAAAATGTAGTTTTTGATTTTTTTCCATAGCAACTTTGCTTCAACATTGACAAACTATGAAGTGCACAAAATGCACAAAAATGCAGTTAGCTCCATTAAACGCTTAAGAGCTATACATCAATATTTTTATTAAAAATTTAGAAACATTAAAAAAGGTTAGTTGATTTATTGCGCAAATTGGGAGATTTGCCAGACAGTAAGCCGCAATTATGCAAACAGCTAGAACGCTGCTGCAATGCGCACTAACTAAACTAATGCAAGCAAGTAAAGAACTAAAATTTTTAAACTTAATATGCGCAGATAATGAAAAAACCGCGCTTTAAAAATGAAAAAAAAAAAAACAATAACAAAACTTATGACATTTTTCAACATTGCAATCTACTAAATTTGCATAAACGCTACACGAAATAACTCGATTTTAATTGCTGTCATTCAAAACTATGAAAACCATGTGCAGGCATCTAAATCGCTGTAAGTGTATATGTCACAGCAATTTGCAGTAAAGTAGATGCGCACGCACATGCGCCTAGTCAAGCGGGCTTCAAAGCCAATAGCGTGTGAAGCAGAAAGCAACAACAAATTTGCTTGTTAACTTTAAGTAAATGGTGGGCACTTTTAATTATAAAAAAATGTTTGAAAATTGCTGACAAATGCTTTTAAATTGGCCGAAGAGCGTGGCGTAGAGGTGACATTCTAAATGAAAATCTTATGAAAACTTTAAAATTTTATAGCCGAGAAGACTGACCACGTCAAGATTTTCAGTTTGAATATAAGATTTTGAGATTTTTGAAACATGGCTCAAATAAGATCTTAAGGTCTTTATTGGCTGAAGTGCGATTTTTAATTGTCTCGTGGTTTGAAAATCGGCTGAAATATGATATATATTGGTTTGAAACCGTGCTAAATTGAAAACAGAATATCAAAATATGTACTTCGGTAGCCTTCAAGAAATAGACGAACGCTATGCCGACCTCTAACAGGCACCCCAAGCAAATCTGGAACTTATATTGTGTAAAAATTTTGAAGTAGCAATTTTAAATAAAATAACCATACAGCTGATCAATATTTACATTTTGTATTACTCTGACCTTTCATTTTAATTGAACTAACACTGTGACGTCACAAGGCAATTACACTCGAAATTGTGCGCAGCTTTAATTATATATTAAATTTAGTATCCGATATTGAAAAAATAGCGAATTTTTTTTTGTTTATTTTGTTTATGCAAAAAATTACCAAAAGCTTTCAAAACTGGATTTCAGGTTCGAAAATTGCTCTAAACCCGTCTCCACATACTAATACAAATAACACTGGAGTGCTTATTAATGATAATCATGATATGAGCATGAGTACATGAGCACTCTTTAAATGAAATTTTTAATTTATAAAAAATAAATTTGAAGCTTTGTTTAATTTCTCTCAAGGTAATGCATGCCATTGAAATATATTTCAAGAAAGCTCGAAATTTTGATACTCAAAGCTTCTAGTTTAAAATTCTAAGAATATATTTATTTCATATTTTTATACTCTCGCAACAAAGTTGCTAAAGAGAGTATTATAGTTTTGTTCACATAACGGTTGTCTGTAAGTGCTAAAACTAAAAGAGTCAGATATAGGGTTATATATACCAAAGTGATCAGGGTGACGAGTAGAGTTGAAATCCGGATGTCTGTCTGTCCGTCCATCCGTCTGTCCGTCCGTCCGTGCAAGCTGTAACTTGAGGAAAAATTGAGATATTGAGATGATGAAACTTGGTACACGTATTTCTTGGCTCCATAAGAAGGTTAAGTTCGAAGATGGGCAAAATCGGCCCACTGCCACGCCCACAAAATGGCGGAAACCGAAAACCTATAAAATGTCATAACTAAGCCGTAAATAAAGATATTAAAATGAAATTTGGCACAAAGGATCGCACTAGGGAGGGGCATATTTGGACGTAATTTTTTTGGAAAAGTGGGCGTGGCCCCGGCCCCTACTAACTTTTTTGTACATATCTCGAAAACTACTATGATATGTCAACCAAACTGTATAGAGTCGTTTCTTTTAGGTATTTCCATATACAGTTCAAAAATGGAAGAAGTCGGACAATAACCACGCCCACCTCCCATACAAAGGTTATGTTGAAAATCACTAAAAGTGCGTTAACCGACTAACATAAAATGTCAGAAACACTAAATTTTACGGAAGAAATGTCAGAAAGAARCTGCATCCAGATTTTTTTTTTAAATTGAAAATGGGCGTGGCGTCGCCCACTTATGGACCAAAAACCATATCTTAGGAAGTACTCAACCGATTTCAATGGAATTCGGTATATAATATTTTCTTGACACCGTGATGACATGTACCAAATATGGGTGAAATCGGTTCACAACCACGCTTGAAATCTTGATTATCACTTTATCATGCGAGAGTATAAAGTGTTCGGTGACACCCGAACTTAGCCCTTCCTTACTTGTTTTCTTTTGTTATTTGCACAGAAATGTTTGGTCCAGTTAACCATGAACCGGTAACTAGTTAATATCACAACAAAGCATTTTGGCGTAGCTAAAAACTCTTTTCATTCTCTTAGCATAATTCAAATTAATACATAGTTCTTTCTGATCACATGACGCCTATTAAGAAATATGCTGAAGAATAAATTGAATAAAATTTGAATAAAAAACAAATAAATTCAGCAAAAAAACAAGAATCATTTTTTCATTTCCAGTTTTATAGTTAGTCTCATTTGCAGCAAACTGTGCTTAAAATATGGACGTTCTCATTTTACCAAATTTTACCAGCTCATAAAATTTGCATTTAACGTCTGCACACATACACACGCTCACCTTTGATAAACAATGTATGTATGCAAATACTCCGACTCAAAAGCTTAAAATCGCTCATCTTCACTTTTAGTCACGGCTTGACGTCATATTTATTAAAAAAAAAAAAAAGAACTGCTAACCTGTCAAGTGATTTCTTCACAATCAAATCTTCATTTCAAATAAATAAACCTACATTTACCGTTGGCGCGCGCAGTTCACTCAAGCGCGTTTCAAGTGACAAGTTTCAACTCTGACTTTGTAGTGGGCCACTTAGCAATGCAATAAACTCACACACATTTGTATATACAATTTGCATATATAATACTATATCCGCTTAAGTGTGCTCCATTTAGGCGTCAGCTTTGTGTCCGTGTTTGCGTGTGTCATATTCGGTACTAAAGCGCATGCGTGGGCGTCTTTTACGCTTTTGGCTGCAATTGGTACTAAAAGATATTCGTCTATAGACAGATCTAAACAAAACGGTGACAATTCATCCGAACGCCCATAATTTGGCAAACACGATTTAGTCATTTGTCAACGCAACGGCGAGCCGACGCAATGACACGCTGGCAGCAGACACTACAATTGGTAATTATGTGCGAGAGAAAAGCGCCAAAAAGCGGTAAAAAAACAGCAGAAATTATCTTTTATTATTATAAATTGCATTGCAAGTGATTTGTTCACAATATTGATTGCATAATTTTAACACCAGATAGGGGTAATTACTCATAAGGCCGCTTCTTTGTTGCTGCTGTCAAAATTTTGTGTGCGTGTGAACGCATATCCATGTATAGTGGAGAAAAATAGTGTTATACAAGTGAAGTGTGTTCCAGACATTACATTTTCTGAAAATATTTGATAAATGGCTTATGTGGCTTATGGTTATGGTTATAAAAGAGTTGTAATGAGAAAGTAAATATGCGAGTATGTGGGTGCCGCCATATACATATAGGAATTAAGCAACTATAATGGCAAGAAATATTATGTAATAAATATGTACATAGTATATGGAATATATATGTACTATATTTCCATAAATGTTGCGAACACGAATTCGAAAAGAGTCCAGTTGAAACTGCCGTTTTTGACACTGAAAGAAAAAAATTTAATAAATAAAAATTATTTAATTAATTACTTAGACTATTTCATTAATTACTTTAGTTATGAAATTCATTACATTAATTATTTAATAAATTACTTAAATATTTAATTAATTACTGTTTTTAATTAATTAATTACTTCAATTATTTTATTAATTAATTTAATTATTTTACTAAATGAAATTTTTTTGCAGCGAAACGGCGTTCCTTCCAAAAAATATTTTTACAAAATTTTTTAACCACATTAATTTTTGCTTTTCTCCTAACCAACAGGCCATCGCTTGCATTTTAGTGCAATGCGCTCTCTCTCAAAACTACGATAAGGAAAATCGTCGCCTCATTCTGCAAATTAAAGATCAAAAAACGACCAACCAACAATACTATTCGTCGAATTTCGATACCAGTAAGTACAGCTTGTTTCAAGTTATCTTTTAAATACTATCAAATGCACAAAAATACATACAAACATTTGCACACGTAGCAACGAAAAACAAGAAATTTAGTAATTAAATAAAAAAATATCATTTCATATATGAGCCTAGCAGTATTTTCACATTTTCCATAACTACTCTGCTCTATATTTCCGCTGTCTACTATATGAAAATCTGTAATTTTTCATAATATCTAATATTTTTATATTTTCATTTTATTTTCTTTCTTTTTTCACGTGCCTTGCGTATTCCTAACTATCCTCTGTACTCTCCTGTAATGATCCTCTCACTCTCACCTTCTTTCTCTCTCTCTTTCGCATTCTATCTCTCTCTTACCAACTAACCAGCTGGTTAGTCACACCTTTGCAATATTCTTTCATTTTCACTCTCTCTCTTTTTCTCACTATACTCTTGCTAGCTCTTTCTCTCACATATGCATTCTAGTTTTTGCCACATCATACATAGTAGTTGTTTTGTTAGTAGCATTTTATACATACATAGTTATCTATATACACATTTTATATATATACAAAATATTATTTAGAAACTTGGGCCGTATGACGAGCTCTTGACAAGGACTCGTACGCCGTGTTCGCCTGCGACGTACTGAGTTCTTTCGGCTTTTAGTTCCGCAGTTAGTTGTTATTACTTTTTTTTTTTTGTAATTGTACAAGTAGCAGCTTGTAGCTAGTTCATTTATAAAATATTTTTATAGAAATATTTTAAAGTTATATCTTTCGTTCTTTTTGTACAGCAAAATTCGTAGCTTTTATTAAATAATTAGTGGACATTTTGTTTATTTGAAAAACAATTAATTTTTTAATTAATTAACAGTAGTGCGCGCTGTAGCCTTAATAAAAACCAAACACAAAAGCAACTAAACAACAAATAAAAAACTAGTTTATCCTAAAATAAAAAAAAAAAAAAAATTGTCTTATGCTATAAATCGTAGCTAAAACCAGAAACAACAACATAAACAATATTAGACAACGTTAAAAATAAACATACATACTTATATCATATATTTACGTTGTTAATTTTGTTGTAGCTTTGTACTAAACACCAAATAAAATCATAAAGTATGCGTAAACGTAGTTAAAACCAAAGCAGACGCACACAAATCTATCAAATATATATATCTACATCTATTTAGTAATATATCGAAATAAACAACAACAACCAAAAATATATATCGTCAACCAAACTCGTCTCAAACTGTAAATATTTTCGTACCGACACACACAACTCGATTCAAATCAATTCAAACTCAAATCAAATCCACGCCACGCCACTCCACTCCAAAACACCCCACTCTTCTATATCATTTAATATAATAATTTTGAATTTTCTGATAGCAGTCAAAAGTCACAGACTCATTATTTTTAACAAATAATATTTTTTTTTACATACATATTTAAAATATTTTAAAATTAAAAAATCTTTTAAGTTGTTGTAAAAACTTAATTAATAAAAATTAAAACTTCTGTGAGAATTAAAATTAAAAAAAGTTTCCTGGAAAGCTTGCTGCAACTTCGCATACGCTGAAAGCGCTTAGAGCTTTCACTTGACTAAAGCTTTCATTTGTTTAAATATGCTTAAAGCGATGTAAAATATGTATGAATAATGTAATGATGTGTCTTAGTGTGCGTAACTTTCCTTTTCGCGCACGTTAAATGTAAATATTCTAAAATGTATGCATTCTTAAAAGCTTTCACTATGCAATGAAAGCTTAATGCATTTTTTACTTAAAAATGTGCATAAACTTCTTTCTTTTCCTGTCCTCGTTACCTTTACATCCATCATCCTTTATCCTGCATCCATATCCATACCTTTCATCCCACTCGCATCATTCACTCGACGTACTCGTGTGACCCCGAAATGAAATAAAACTCTGGCTTTGAACTATAGTGTAATAGTACATACATATTTTTTTCTATAAACAGCTGCGCAATAGCACAAAGGTAGTACAATTTTTTATATATATTTTTTTATGAAGGTTAGAAGTAGTGCGTGTTAAGCAATGTGTTATATAAGGCAGGGATTATGCTATGCATATTTTTATGGCAAACTGAAAGGAAAGATTATTTTTGTCTGTCATAAAAATAATGTAATGAAAAGTAGCCGTTATAGGTATATTAAATACTATGAGGTATTAACCGTGTATAAATGCTAGGCAACAAACAACAATGTGAGTTTTTTTTCTAATGATAATTCTTCACCGTAAAAAGAGAGAAGAAAGCAGTCAACAATTATTGTATATTTAAAAAAAAAAAATTAAATATTCCTTTAATATCCAAATTAAAATTAATAAACAAAAATAATATCCATTCCACCACAATCCGTTATCAACTGCCGCACACCAAAACCTATAACAACAACGTCCCTAAAATACAACAAAACATTTGCTTGCTTATGGACACGCCTCAGATGCCTATCGTTATGGCTATGATATCGGTAAGACGGGCAATTTCCACCATGAGACCCGCGGTCCTGATGGCGTTACCTACGGTTGTTATGGTTACGTCGATCCATACCATATGTTACGTGCAACACATTATGTTGCCGATACACACGGTTATCGTACCGTTGAACCACAAAAACCAGTCGAGGTCTATCCAGTGTATGGCGAAAAAGGCCATGGCGTAATTTTGCAATGGGATGAGCTATACTTCCCAATTGGCTGTGGCAAGTTCGAAGGTGGCGCACGGCCAGAATTTCCAGTATTAAATTTGGGTGATGTACGTTGAATAATCAATAAAAAATGAAAATTTTGTGACCTAAATCACATCATCCTCTCTCCTCCACCTCTACCTAAAATTTTGCAGAAGAAGCCTAGTGGTTTTACGCCAGGTTTCTCCTTTTCTCATGCACCGGGTGTCCAAAGCGGTTCAGCCATTCTCAGCCCTTCACGTTATGCCGATCACGATCGCGAGCGCATACCAGCTCCCTCGGCACATGTTGTCGCCACTGTGCGACCCGGCAATAATGGTCCATATCCAGGTGATAATGGTGGTGGCCAATATACAGGCGGCAACGGTCCATACAATGGTGGAAATGGTCCACACAACAAAGACAACGGTCAATACAATAATGGTAACGGTCC